TGCACCCAGTCATATAGAAATGTCACCATAAATAAATAAATACAACGGACATCCCAAGCTAGGGCTGGGTCGAGGACAGACACGTCCCCACCTTTGCAGGATTTTGCAAAAGCGAGGGGGGAGGGCGCATCGCCGCGCGGAGAGGGCTGGGCACAGGGCACAGGGGATCTCTCTCGCATAGGATATGCACTCGGCGGCACGAGGGCAAGGCTGGGCGTCCTATGTTTGTGCTCCCCCCCGGACCCCTCGCTCTCGGGCACTAACCATCTGACCACTCATCGACGGGGCTTGGCGAGCGGCCGCGCTGCGGGGCAGGGCTGGTGAGAATGGGCTCTGGCCACTCGCCCGTGCGGTTGTAACCCCGCATCTGTCGGACAGAGGCCTCGACCGCCCCTCGCGGCAAGCTCTCGAGCATCTCGAGCAGCTAGAAATGTCACCACGCCACAATCGATTTCGGCGACGAATTCTTGTCGCTCGCGCTCGAGCTACAGCGGCTTGCGAACGTGATCAAACTCTGCTTCAAGGACTTCCCTACGCACTTCACGAGGTTCTTCAGGGACTGCGAGAACGACGGGATTGCCATCCTCCAGAAGCTTCCAACCGTCCAGTACACCGAGGAAGAGAGCGCGATCGTGATCAACGCCGCGTCGAACTTTATTCTCACTGGCGCGCCTCCGCTTCTCAACAATGACACCTTCGACGACTGGACAAGGGACTTCGAGAAGACGCAGCGGCGCGTCCCACCTGCTCTGCGCGTCATCGCCTCCGACACCGCCAAGATACAGAGGATCGACCATCTCTTCGTCACTCAACCCGACATCTCCAACGATTGGCGGACCCACATCAGGGTCGAGAGGTACATCAAGAAGGAGAGTGGCGAGGCCGTATCCTACGAGTGGTACGTCGAGCAGGCAGAGTCTTTCCTCCGCCGTCGAGCCGCCCAAGACGCGCTGCGTGAAACCTGTCTACGACCTTCGGCACATCGGGATGGTTCGTCAAGTGGCAGGGAGCTACGATCAATTGGGGGTCGAAAAAGCAGCCCTGCGTCGCCCTCTCGTCGTGCGAGGCTGAGATCATCTCGCTGTCCGAGGCGACGAAGGACATGGTCTACTTTCGCCGTCTGGTCTCCGACCTCGACCCCGGCGCCGTCGACGGTCCCTCGGAGGTCAGCACCGACAACAAGGGCGCGCGCGACGTCGCCTACAATCCCGAACACCACGGTCGCATGAAGCACGTCGAGCGGCGTCACTTCTTCGTGCGCGACATGGTGGAGAAGTTCGAGATTCGCGTCCCCTGGATCGAGGGCGAAGGCAATGTGAGCGACTTCCTTACGAAGCCGCTCGCGAGCTCGACGCGGTTCTTCAAACTTCGCGACGAGATTATGAATGTGCGCGGCCAGACCGCTCACGTCGTGTGCGGTGCCCGCTTTGCGTGAGCGATCCCGCGCCCGCGAGGTCCAATCTCGCATTGTGTCATTCACGCTTCGGGCAGCCGGGTTGCCGCTTTCGACCTCCCCTGGTCTCAATCGGGGGGGGGCGTCGCTGCCCGGGGATTGATCTCCCACTCTTGTGTGTCATTACCCATTCACGCTCTCTCGTGTGTCATTACCCGATCCCAATTACTGGGGATTGGGTTCGTATATTCATTCAACGACGAAGTCGAACAAAGGGTGTGCGATCGCTCCTGCGTGCACTGCCCGGACTCGTCGCCTGGGACGGCGGCTGTGGACCCGCCTCCCAACCACGCCACGCCCTTACAATCATACGCATAAAAAACCCGGACTCAAGCAAAAACCTGACTTTCTCTCTCTCGGCCTGTAAGAAAGGACAGGTCGGCTCTCTCCGTTCCCGCTTTCCGCTCCCTCTCCACGCCCTCTCCTCGCGCTCCATCGTTCTCGGCCAGAATTGAATCATCCCCATTCGAGCGATGTGCGGCTTCTTCTCGCCTCCTCCGCCTCCTCCGCCGGCGGCGGCCGCGCTGCTGACGCAGGTCATCGAGGCAGCGCCGCCTCTCTTCAGCTTCCAGTTTGGCATGGCGATGCTCGTGCTGGCGCTTTCGCTTACGCTGATGCCGCTCATCCGGGAGCGGCTGCGGGGCGGCGGAGACGCCGCCGCCACGGCGCGGCCGGCGGCCGAAGGCGACGAGGGCGAGGGCGACAGCGACGGCGAGGGCGACGACGAGGGTGACGACGAGCACCTCGGGTGGGTGCTGGCGGAGAGGCTGCGGAACGCGCGCTTCGACCCTCGCGAGATGGTGGCGTCGGTCATCTCTCAGCTCGGCGAGTCCGCCTTCCTCGTCGTCTCCTCCTTCCTCGCCGTCGCCGCAGTCGGCCTTCAGACAGCCTCGCGGTGGGGCAGGCAGACGATGACTGGCAGGACCGTGGCGTGGAGCGCAAACGAGAAGGTCAAGGTGCTCGTCGCGTCGGCAAAGGCGCAGCCCAACACCGAGAACGAGAGCGAGATCGAGCGAGATCGAGCGAGCTTGCTCCGGGCCGTAGCGTGAGGGGAGGAGGAGGAGCCGAGGAGGAGGAGGAGAGATGCCTCGCCCTCCCTTGCTCCTAGATAGCTCCGCCCTCCCGGCTCCGCCCCTCAGGCGCGCGCAGAGGAGGCGTCCCTCCGCTCGATGGCGCTGCGCGCCTTCCGCGACGCCGACATCTCCGGCGACGGCAGATGCGGGCCGCGCTCTTTCCTCGGCACACGTCCACGACACGTCCGGGACGCGTCCTCATAGGCGACGGGGAGGTGGGCCGGTGCCGGGGTCTCGTGGACGTGTCATGGACGTGTCGTGGACGCGTAGGCGACGGGGAGGTGGACCATGCCGAGGTCTACTGCGTGGTGCTCAAGCTGTATCTGCAGCTGCGCGCGCTGGCGGTGGTGACGCCGCCTTCGCGCGATCACGTTCTCAAGCTCGCCAAGCGCTTCGACCTCGACGGCGCGAGACCTCCTCATATCTCCCCATATCTCCCCATGTCTCCCCATATCTCCGGCCTCGACGGCGCGAGACCTCCTCATATCTCCCCATATCTCCCCATGTCTCCCCATATCTCCGACCTCGACGGCGCGAGACCTCCTCATATCTCCCCATATCTCCCCATGTCTCCCCATATCTCCGACCTCGACGGCGCGAGACCTCCGGAGAGGAGCTGCCCGAGAGGAGCTGCCCAGCCCAGACCCGCCCCCGCAGGCTCGGGCCACCTCGGAGAGGAGGAGTTCGTGTTGTTCGTCTCGGTCCTCTTTGAGAACGTCGCCGCCCGCGTCGCCGCGCAGGCCCCCGCAGGACGGGGGAGGGGTGGGGCAGGGCGGGGAGAGGTCGGGGGAGAGAGAGCAGTCTGAAACATCGGGGGGTAAGGCGGGGGTTGGAAGGGGAGTCGGGGGACGCCGTTGAGCCGAGCGGTGGTCGCCCGTGCTCGGCTGCACTTCGGCCGCACCTCGGCTGCACCTCGGCCGCACCTCCCTCCCCCGCAGGTCTCGCTCGCCGGCCTCCTCTCTCCGTATCTCGCGGCGCGCGCCATCATGCGGGCGGTCGACTCGCCGTCGGTGATGGAGGGGGCGCGATCGCTGACGCCAGGCGTCGCGGCGCCATACTTGAGCCGAGATATGGGGAGATATGGGGAGATATGGGGAGATATGACGCCAGGCGTGGCGGCGCCATACTTGAGCCGCCCGAGATTACGCGATATTACGCGAGATTACCCGAGATTAGGCGTGGCGGCGCCATACTTAAGCCGAGCCGTGGTCGAGACGGCGACCACCGCCGCGCTGGTCGCGATCCTTGTCCCCTTCACGCTCGGGATCGTCGACGAGGTCTGCGCCGCCAGACAGACACACAGACACACAGACACAGACACAGACACACACACACACACACACACACGCACACACACACACACACACACACACACACACACACACA